ATCTGTACACCCATGTTCGTAGCAACATTATTCAAAATATCCAAAAGATGGAAGCAAACCAAGTGGCCACTGATGGGAGAATGGATAAACAAAATGTAGTATATACATGCAATGGAATATTATATGGCCTAAGAAAGAAATTCTGACACATGATGCAATGCGTATGAACCTTGAAAACATGCTGAGATAAGCCAGCCACAAAAGAACAAATATTCTATGATTCTGTTTATGAGACACCTAGAGTAGTCAAATTAGTGAAAACAGAAAGTAGAATGGTGATTTCCAGGGAATCAAGGGAGGGACATACAGACAATTAGTGTTTACTATGTAGAGTTTCAGTACGGGAAGATAAAAAAGCTCTGGAGATGGATAGTGATGACAGTTACACACAATGTGATTATGATGAATGTCAACGAACTATAAACTTAAACATGGTTAAAATGGTAAAATTTATGTTATGTATATTTTACAAAATATAAATTTATAAACAATAATTTTAAATTATTTTCATTATTTAAAATGAGAAAAGACTACTTATAACTTGGTGTTTACACACTGGGCATGTTGGGTGGCAGTGGGGTGTGGGGAAGGGAGGGAGAGCATAAGGATAAATAGCTAATGCATTCAAGGCTTAAAACCTATGTGGTGGGTGGATAGGTGCAGCAAACCACCATGGCACACATATACCTATGTAACAAACCCAAACCTAGGTGCCAGGTTGATAGGTGCAGCAAACCACCATGGCACATGTATACCTATGTAACAAACCTACACGTTCTGCACATGTATCCTGGAACTTTTTTTTTTTTTGAGATGGAGTTTCACTTTTGTTGCCCAGGCTGGAGTGCAATGGTGCTGTCTCAGCACCACAACCTCCATCTTCTGGGTTCAAGCAATTCTCCTGCCTCAGTCTCCCAAGTAGCTGGGATTACAGGAATGCACCACCACGCCTGGCTAATTTTGTATTTTTAGTAGAGATGGGGTTTCTTCAGGTTGGTCAGGCTGGTCTTGAACTCCTGACCTCAGATGATCCACCTGCCTCAGCCTCCCAAAGTGCTGGGATTACAGGTATGAGCCACCGTACCCAGCCAATATCTTGGAACTTAAAGTAAACTGAAAACAAACAAACAAACAAAAAAAGAACTTGGTGTTTGATTCCTGTTATAAGTGTTGGTATTTTAAAAAATAAACAAAAGGGGAATCCTTACTAAAATTTCCATTTAAACTTCCAGTGATGAAAATTGAAAATGAAGTGAGCAGCAAACAACAAATTTGAGTGTTTGAATATCATTCTCTCATATTTATTCAGACATAGCCCCACCCATGTAGTTGGTACACAAGGGTAAGATATAAACCTTTATTATCTCTAACTGGACAGGCACAAAACGTCACTTTATTGACCACCTGGTGTCCACTCCAGTACATCCCAAATGTTCAGTTTATAAACACCTAAAGTCTCCATCAAAAAAAAACTATTAGAACAGATAAATGCATTCAGTAAAGTTTCAGGATACAAAATCAATGTACAAAATATTAGCAGCATTTCAATATACCAATAATGATAAAGTGAGAAAACAAATCAATAACTCAATCCCATTTATAATAGCTACAGAAAAAAAAAAAAACCACCAAGGAATACATTTAAGCTAGGGAGCAAAAGACCTCAAGAAGGAAAACTAAAAAATACTGATGAAAGAAATCATAGATGGCACAAACAAATGGAAAAGCATCCCAGTCTCATGAAATGGAAGGATAAAAATAATTTAAATGATCATACTGCCCAAGGCAACGTATAGATTTAATACAATTCCTGTCAAATTACCAATGTCATTCTTCACAGGATTAGAATAATCCTAAAATTTATATGGAAGCAAAAAAGAGCCTGAATAGACAAAGTAATCCTAAGCTAAAATGATAAAGCTAGAGGTATCACATTACCTGACTTGAAATTATATAAGACTATAATAATCAAAACATCATGATATTGGTTCAAAAATAGACACACACATCAACGGAAGAATAAATAACCCAGAAATAAAGTTACATTATTACAACCAAATGATCTTTGACAAAGTCAATTAAAAATACATTAGGGAAAGGACACCCTATTCAAGAAATGGTGCTGGTAAAATTGGAAAGCCATATGCAGAAGAATAAAACTGGACTCCTATATCTCACTGTATATAAAAATTAACTCAAGATGGATTAAAGACTTAAACATAAGACTTGAAACCACAAAAGTCCTAGAAGAAAACCTAGGAAAAACTCTTCTGGACATTGGCCTAGGCAAAGAATTTACAGATAAGCCCTCAAAAGGAAATGCAATGAAAACAAAAATGGACAAATGAGATCTCATTAAACTGAAAAGCTCCTGCGCAAGATAAGAAATAATTAAAAGAATAAACAGACAACTTACCAAATGGGAGAAAATACTTGCAAATATGCATCTGACAAAAGGTTAATATCCAGAATTTATTAGAAATGCAAACAACAAGAAAAAAACAAATAATTCCATTAAAAAGTGGGCAAAGGACATAAGTGGACATTTTTCAAAAGAAGACACACAAGCAGCCAACAAACGTGAAAAAATGCTCCACATCACTAATCACCAAAGAAATGCAAATTAAAACCACAATGAAACACCATCTTACACATCAGAGTGGCTACTGAAATGTCAAAAACAATAGATGTTGGTGAGGATGCAGAGAAAAGGGAACACTTATACAATTAGTGGAAATATAAGTTAGTACCCCCTCTATGGGAAACAGTCTGAAGATTTCTCAAAACTAAAAATAGAACTACCCTTCAGTTCAGCAATCCAACTACTGGGTATCTACCCAAACAAAAAGAAATCATTGTATCAAAAGAGATACACACATTCATTATGTTTATGGCAGCACTGTTTACAGTAACAAAGTCATGAAATAAACATAAATGTCCATCAATAGATGATTGGATTAAAAATATGGGAAATATATATATACACACACACACACACACACACATATACACACATACACACACACACCGTGGAATACTACTCAGTCATATAAAAGAATGAAATCATGTATTTTGAAGCAATGTGGATGGAATTGGAGGCCATTATCCTAAGCGAAATGACTCAGAAGCAGAAAGTCAAAAACCACATGTTCTCACTTGTAAATGGGAGCTAAACTATGGATAGCAATGGTCATCCAATAGACACTGCAGATGCTGATAGGTGGGAGGATGGGAGAGGGGTGAGGGATGAAATGCTATCTATTGTGGACAATGTACATTATTGAGGTGACAGTTACACTGAAAGCCCAGACTTCAGCACAATATAACTATCCATGTAAAACAACTAACTGCACTATTGCTAAATCTATAAAAACAAACTTAATAAAAACATTAAAAATAAAATAAAATTAGTTTTAGTAAATTTGACTCACAAGGAATTTAGCAACATATGCTAAATATATATTAATAACTTAAAAGCTTTGGTTTACAGAAAAAATAAAAATTTAACATGTGTTATTTAAAATGACAGATTAAGAACTATTCAACAGGTAGATAAAATAATTTTGTAAAATATATTTCAGTTGTCTAATGATGTTATGGACTAAATTGTGTCCCTTTGAAATTCATATGTAGAAGTTCAAACCACCACTGTATCTTAATTTGGAAATAAGGCCTTTAAGGAGGTAATTAAGATTAAATGACGTCATCAGGGTAGCGTCCTAATCCAATATGATACCAGGGATGCATTAGTACAGAAGAAAGACAACGTGGCCAGGCACAGTGGCTGACACTTGTAATGCCAGCACTTTGGGAGGGTAAAGTGGGCGGATCACCTAAGGTCAGGAGTTTGAGACCAGCCTAACTAATATGGTGAAACCTCATCTCTACTAAAAATACAAAAATTATCCAGGCACAGTGGCAAGCATCTGTAATCCCAGCTACTCAGAAGGCTGAGGCACAAGAATCACTTAAACCCAGCAGGTAGAGGTTGCAGTGAGCTGAGATCACACCATTGCACTCCAGCCTGAGCAACAGAGCGAGACTCCATCTCAAACAAAAAGAAGAAAGACAATGTGAGGACACAATGAGAAGGTAGCAGTCTGCAAGCCAAGGAAAGGGGTCTCAGTAGAAACCAATGCTGCCAGCAACTTTATCTTGGACTTCCAGCCTCCAGAACAGTAAGAAAATAAATTTTTGTTGTTTAATCCATCCAGTCTGTGGTATTTTGTAATAGCAGCAAATGGCAAGTCCAGGGAAAAAAAAATCAGTGATATGAAAAGAGAGAAAAAGATAAAGAAGATAAAGGACAGGACAGACATATTCACACACAGAACAGAACATGTAGGAGATGCAAGAAACCCAGACATATTTACAGACACTGAGAAACACAATATTGTAAAATAGCATTACATGGTCTTTTAAGAAATTGTTGCTAAAGATGTCTGAATAACATGAGTTTCTTCTGCTATTCACATGTATATATTAGGACATGCTTTGAGAAATAGATGAATTTAAAGTAACAATTCTGCTTTAAGATCACAAGTTCTCAAGTCCTGGATTAGAGCCTTCATTCAGAAAACCATCAACATGTGGTCATAAAACTGCCCTTGGATTTTTTAATCCTTTCATTATCATGCCTTTAACAGATATCTACATTCTCCCCTTGCCTTCATTATGTTTTCTTGATAGCCTATGTACCACCACAAAAATAATTGAGGTGCTAACACATTTGGGGCAAACCATGTGATGATCATTTTAACTAATGCTCTTCAAATAAAAAATGACACGCATATTGTGGGATCGGGTGATCAGCAAGATTTACACAAGACACAAGAACAGAACTAAAGCATTGCTTCAGAAAAAAATGAATTTCAGTGGAGAACTATCTTAGGCCTGAAATAGGTCCATAGTAAAATCTCAAGTGCTTTCATCAAAATTAACCCAATAATTTACTGGAAAAATGGTAATTCAAATCTACATCCAGTTTTATAAATACTTACAGTATAATAATCCCGAAATATTGATGATGATTGAGAGAAAGTAACTTGACTGGAGTCATAAGGCAAACAGAAAGACCTTGTCGGCACAAATCCTCTCCAATCATAGAATGCTTTGTCTGTTAGAAATATCAATGCAGGTTAAAACAATATTTATCCAGGAAAAGTACACACGGACTATATTGCTTAATGTTGCAAAGAGTAAAGCAAATCATCTTTATGGCCTCACTATTCTGTATTAAAATCACATCTTGTCATCTAATCAGAGAGAAATGAAGAAATGATAGGACTGCATAGAAAGAGGCTTCAATTAACTGGTGCCTTCATACGGTAAGGCTCTCGTGTTTGTATTGCACAGTGTGCCCAACAGAAAACGAATAGGTTCATTCTCTTCACTATCTCCTCCTAAAGAACATCAACTTCTTTTTTTTTAAAAGAGGCTTAAAGCAAAATCATATTTGTGAATAGCACTTATAAAAATAAAAAGAAAACCTCTCTGTATTACACACTTTAAAAGAAAATTCAGTATTTTATAAGGCACATGTTTTGATATTGCAAAGTAAATTAAATTATGAAAAGTGTTTAAGGTAAATAGGTTGAAAGCACAAAAGGTTAGCCAGCATCGCCACGTATTTCTTCTGTCTCATGGCAGTTGGTACATAAGATTTCTACAGGAACCTTTTTTCTTTAATCATAGGAAGGAGATTTAAGATTGATTTGTCCATTTTTTTTCTCAGAGATATTAATCATTTAAAAAGAAGAAAATTCAGTTCAATCCTGCCATCCAAATGAACCAAACTATTTTCATATTTCCAATTTTCTTTCATATATGTATATGTGTGTATCTATATAGTCTTTCCTGAAACTTTCAATGTAATAAAGTCATCCATGGACTGCTTAGTTGTATATAAATTTATAGAAAACTCAAGAAGTAATAAATTCTCTCACTTCACTGCTTCAATTTATTTACAGGATCATAAGTTGAGTGCTCTATGGGGAGGCAACGAAGTAACATAAAACAATAAAAAGGTAATGGTATCTCAGAGACAGTCTAATCATTACAAATACATTCTACCTCATCCATTTCAATCAAGAGTCTCTGCACTCTTTCAAAAAGGCAAAATCTCTCGAAGAGGCAACACAATCATATATTTCAATAAAAATTCAATGTGAAACAGTGGAATTCTTTTTTTTTTTTTTTTTTTTTGAGACATAGTCTCACTCTTTCTCCCAGGCTGGAGTGAAGTGGAGGGATCTCGGCTCACTGCACTGCAAACTTCCCCTCGCGGGGTTTATGCCATTCTCCTGCCTCAGCCTCCTGAGTAGCTGGGATACAGGCACCTGCCACCACGTCCAGCTAATTTTTTGTATTTTTTAGTAGCGACGGGGTTTCACAGTGTTAGCCAGGATGGTCTCGAACTCAAAATTCTTTAATGGAAGCAAAGGCCAATAACGAGTAGCTTGTAGAGAATCTGAGCATTTTAGTCCTGAGAAGAAGATAGCAAGGAAAAGGCCATGCCCTTTATATTTTCATTTGGAAGCTTTATAAGACCAAGAGAGTATAAAAGAGTAACACAAGAGTTATTAAGATGTGTACACCCTTACATTTCTTATGAAGCCCTCTTAATGAATTCAAAGCATTCTCCAACTCATCAGCATTATCCCTGACCTACCCACTCCCCTTAATGCACCATTACATACAATAAACAATATCTCATATTTTAGATAATCATGCTTCTCTTTCCAATCTTCTTTTTGAATTTATAAACTGTTTCAAGGCAAGGACTATAACTTACCTGGAACTGCTCTGTGTTTCTGATTCATTAGCAATGTGAATGAGGTAGCTATGAAAACACTGGTGAATAAGAAGGAGGATACTGAACATTCCCAACACAAAGAAATGACAAATTTCTGAGATGATAAATATATTAACTACCCTGATCTGATCACTATACATTATACGTATAAAAACATGACTCTGTACTCCCATGAATGTGTACAATTATTATTTGTTAATTTTAAAAATAAAATTAAATAAATAAATAAAATTTCTCTGTGATTAAAAAAAGAATTGGTCTGAAAAGGTTAAATCTTACAGGCAAAGAGGTTATCTTCTTGATACTGAAGAGTCTAACCCAATATATGAAACTAAAACCTATACGACTTATTTTTCCAATAGTGTCCAGAGCATTTTCAAATGTTTTATCTTGTTTACTCACAAAGCAGACTCACAGAGTTGAAAACACCATGCATTATTTTCTCCCAGTATATAGGTATCATACTAGAAAATATAGCTATAACTTTTCTGGAAGCAGTAAAGCCTCCACTAAAATCCTCAAGGTAATCATTCACACACTGATGTATGCTAATGACTCCCCCTTAGAAGCCAGGCACAGAAGGTGACATGCAACAAATTCCAGTTTATTCCACAAAGTCAGTCGAAAGTTATAAGCTAATAGTTTGATGAAGACCAAAGTCATTAATCAGACTAAATCTTCACAAAACCTTCCTGGAGTCAACAATCTTCACAGATAATGCCACATAGAAATAAAGGTTCTGAATCCCAGGGGTGTGTGTGTGTGTGTGTGTGTGTGTGTGTGTGTGTGTGTACACATCTGCACAAGAGTAGGCTATATATTGATAGGTGGAACAGAAATCTTGTCAGTAATCCCAGTTATCAGTCAGCAGGACAGAAGAAAATATCGTAAGAGTAAACAAATCTGAGGAAAACTCAATATCAAGATTTGGAAAGAAACCAAAATGGTCACCTCAGTTTAACAAGGAGTTAAAAAGTAGCTATCCTTGAACATAAAAAAATGTGTTAATTAACTACTCATACTGATATCTGCCTTTGAATTTCTTCAATATTTTAGACTATCATCAAAAAATATTAATTCATGTTAGTGTGCTGCCTTTCTGCATATCTAATTTGCATATCAAGACTTAAAAGTCTTTTGCTTGCTTTGTATGCACCATAAAACTGAATATAATGGTGTGCCCCAAGTGTCTGTGTGTGTCTGTGTGCACACACGCGCATGTGCTTCTGGATTAGAAACTGATTTGGCATTGACTACAAGGCTAACCAACAAAGCCATAAGAGTGAAAGGTCCCATAGAATTCAACAGAAATAAATACATGAAGAAACAGAAAATCCTTAAAAATGGACTTTTAAAATTCTGATTTTTAGATATTTTTCACCAGACCATCTCCCCTCATTTTCTAGCATCATCTTGATGTTTATAATGATAATCATTTTCCAATTTTATTTTCTGTTTTTATTCAAATTTATGTAGTTGACAATTAGTCAATTATTTACACAGGTGGGAGACATTTCCAAAACCTAATAAGCAGTTGTTATTTTAGAAGCTTAAATTATACAAATGACTCACAGAAAACTGAAAAGATCGTATATGACAGGTGATAATGTCAGGGAATGAGAAACAAGGGAAAGAAAAAGGAAGGAAAGAAAAGTTCTTAGGTAGTTAAAACAGTCCCCACATCTGTAATTTTTGTAGTGACAAATATTATCTTCGTATCGCAAATGAATACATTGGTTCAATTCACCTGGATATCAGCAAAAGACCCAAAAGCAATAGTAGTTCAGCATTTAAAAATACACTGTTTTAGTCAACTTAGAAACCAAATGCTCTTAAGAAATAGTCTGTATATGTGTCTTCCAGAGTAGAAGGAAGTTCAAATGAAAATGAATCTTTATTAGGATATGATAAAATCAAAGACATTACTGGGTTTAGTGGTCCTGTGTCCCTAGAGCCTCTTTTATGCCAAGCTCGTTCTGTTTCCCTTTTATCAATTCTCTCGTATCAATTAATTCTTTGAGTTAATTGCACATGCAGTTTTAATCTGTAGGTAATTACAAACAATTAATAGTTAGGAGACAGAATTAGCAGTTCTTAGTTTGATTATCTATATAATTAAAAGGGGTGGTAAACTAGAGTTGACAAATAGCATCTTAATCATTTGAATAATCAAACCCCAGAAGCTTGCTTGGGTGGCTGAATTCCATCTGTTACATTAGTTTAAATTTTAGAATTAATGACTGAAATGTCCATTTAAATCAGTTCTTATGTGTTGAATTTATAGTACAAAATGAACAAGGCATATACTCTAAAATTACTTAAACCATCTTCTTTTGTTTGTTTATAATAAGCTGTTTCCAAAAGGATTCAATTAAAGATTTGTAGAGGAGAAAAAGTAATATATTTTCCTCACCCATTGGAAGTGTTCATGGAGGTGACATCTCTATAACAAAGACTGATAAACAAGAGAAAAGTATAACAAGCTTGTTTATCAAAGTTTTGTGTAACATGGGAAGCTTCAGAAATGAAGACCCAAAGACTCAGGGAAAACTATATTTTTTATGAAGAATGGTCATGTAGAAGTATGATTGGACAAAAATGCCATATGACCTTATGGTAGTAAACTAGGGGAAACTCAGCAAGGCCTATTTCTTCAGATTCGTCTTGGCTTCCAGGTATGGGGCAGGACATTTGTCATAAGAGAGTCTTCAGAAGGGAAGATAGGACGTCAGAGAGTGAATTTCCTGGGTTTTATGGTTAGCTTTGGAGTAAAGGAATTCTAGTTTCTATGTCCAGCTTCTAGGGAGAAAAATCCAGAGAGAGCTTCCTGCTTCTACTGTCCTCTCAATCCTTGCAGCTCAAAATACTCAGCATGCCAAGAGACCACATTTTTGGGGTATCATGTTCTAAGTCCTGACAGATTCGATAGACTAAATTATGTACATCTAGCGAATGCCGGTTAATAATAATGGATACCGTTTCTATGTCATAAAATATCTAAGAAATATGGATAATTCTTTTCATACTATGTTCTGTTTAACACTTTGTGTGCTGTGATGGTTAATAATGAGTGTCAACTTGATTGGATTGGAGAATACAAAGTATTGATGCTGGGTGTGTCTGTGAGGGTGCTGCCAAAGGAGATTAGCACTTGAGTCAGTGGGATGGGAAAGGCAGACCCACCCTTAGCCTGGGTGGGCACAATCTAACCAGCTGCCAGCATGGCTAGAATATAAGTAGGCAGAAAAATATGAAAAGAGAGACTGGCCTAGCCTCCCAGCCTACATCTTTCTCCCGTGCTGGATGCTTCCTGACCTCGAACATCAGACTCCAAGTTCTTCAGTTTTGGAACTTGGATTGGGTTTCCTTGTTCCTCAGCCTGCAGACAGCCTATTGTGGGACCTTTGTGGGATCTTGTGATTCTGTGAGTTATACTTAATAAACATATATATATATATATATGAGTTTATAGCAAATAAGACATGCTTTTAATCCTTTTTTGGCTATCTGAAGAAACCAGAGGTTTGTAGATAGAGAGCAAATACTAAGAAGCAAATAAGCTTAAGGTAAGTCAGAATATATATGGGAACTTCATTCTGATTAGAAAAGAATGTAATATAGATAAGTAGCATCACTGTTGCGTAACATCTTTCTGAGCTGCCAAGTATTTGAACAAGTTGGGAAGATACTTTGAAGCTAATAGTAGATTAAAAAATTTTCAAGAAAATAATGACTTCTGGTCCAATATAGTCTGTTACTCTTGGCTGTGAGCCAGCCCCTTTACAACCTCAATAAATACTATAATGACAAAGGAGAAGATGAAAATCTCAAGGTCACAAAAAATAAATCTAATCATTTACCAATTTGCAATTGAGAAGAAAATTTAATTAGGATAATGGAAATGAATTGAGGAAAGCAATCAGTGACTTTTACATAATAATATACTCACCCCTCCCTAATCTGAAAAACGGTAGAAAGATGCTTAATATCTCCCAAGGAAAAAAATGCAGGAAAAAAAAAGAATGAAAAATGTCTCTCTACAATGTAAGTGCCACTTTAAAATAACTGATTCCCTTTTCCTACCTTCATCTACCACAATTCACGTAGACACTACAGCTCCAGGACAACAACTAGGCAAGAAAGCAGCCCTGACTTCAGCAACAGTATTTGATACAGTCCTATGGAAAGGAGTTCTGTGTGGAGGCTGGGGAGGGCAGGTATTGATAACAATGCATAATGGAGATTGTAATTTTTCATGAGCTAAATAGCTGAAAATAATAAGAACGAAGGTGTGGAATAGGCAAGTCTCCACCTTAGCAGAGCTCAACTGTTTGAGACAGATGTCTGCAAGTCATTGGGAATTAGGCAGAGAACCAGGCATTGACACCTGATCATCAACTATAGAACTAGATTTTTCTCAGGGCTGAGAAAAATCCACACGTTCTTTCTATTTGTAATCACTCACTGCCTAGATCAATTTCTCCTTATCTGGGGCAGAGTAAATAAACTAGGGCCTATATTAATCACGGTAATGCTTGTTAACACTTATTGAAGGCTCAAATTACTAAACAATTTACACACATTACCTGACCTGTGCTGCAGAATAACCCCATGAGGCGGATGTTCCATTTGACAGAGGAGAAAACTTATTATGTCCCTTGCTCAAGCTCAGACAGAGGGTAAGGGGTTGTGTGAATCCAGATCTATCTTGAAGCTTACCTGTGACTGACACAAGGGAAAGGGTCTCTGGTAGACCAGTCAGAAAGAGAACCATGTCCTAATCCCTGGAACCTATAAATGTTAGCTTATATGGCAAAAGAAACTTTGCAACTGTGATTAAATTAAGGATTCTGAAATGGGGAGGGAGATTATCTGGGACTGTCGTGGTGGGTCCCACATGTCATCACAAGTGTCCTTACAAAAGAGGTAGAGGGAGACTTTACTACAGAAGAGAAGATGTGATGTGGCAGAAAACAGAATGGAGTGATGTGAAAAAGGGCTCCTGAGCCAAGGAATGCAGGTGGCCTCCAGAAGCTGGAAAAGACATGGAAACAGATTCTTCCCTAGTGTCTCTGGAAGGAACTGGTCCTGCAGACACTTGACTTAATTCAGTGAAATTGATTTCAAACTTCTAGCTTCCAAAAATACAAGAAAAAATTGGGGATTGTTTCAAGTTACCAGGTTTTCGGTAATTTGTTACAGCAGCCTTAGGGAAACTAACACAGTCTACAATTCTAAAAATTCAGTAAAAGTGTTTAAGTCTAAAAATATTCTGCTAGACACAGGGGAAAATTATAGAAAAGTGCTTGGCATTCTCACTATATTATAATAAGCCAACTCCTTGAAATAGAAGTCAAAACAATAAGGAAATAACTAAGAGTTTAACAATAATAATAATTGTAAGTCAAATAAAAATGAAAATTAGCATTTTTAAAAGGGAAGAAATACAAAGAAACCAAAAATGTAATGGCAGAATAAAAATGTACTTCAGAGTTAGTAGGAGTATAAGTGACAGCATAGAATATCAAATGACTGGATTTGGCAAGCACTCCTAGAATGCAGAAGAAAAGCATCAAAGATGAGAATTATAAGAGAGAAGATTATAGATTAAAGAGCACAAAAAATAAATATCCATCAAAGGAACCACACACATTACTGAAGACGAAACTAGAACAATCAGAAATGAAGAAAATATACTATGTAATAATTTCCTGAGCTGAACAAAAGATTTGAATCATCTGACTATTGGAGTTTATTGAATTTTGGGGTAAGTTTATTAAAAGAGACTTGCATACAAATATATTTTGCAAAATTACAGGAGTAAAGAAAATTTAAATGATAAGAATAAAGAAAATTTCATACATATTCAAGAAGAAAAACATCTGCAAAGGTATAAACTCCAGGTTATTCTCAAATTTCTTCTGTGAAACAGCAAAAGAATCAATAAATAATAGACTACCAACAGAATTTTCAGGAAAGTGAAAAGTTAAATAAATTTTATAACCAAATTGTCTTCAATGTGTAAAGGCCAGGAAAAAAATCATTATCAAATATACCAATGCTCTGAAAATTTGCTGAGAAAACACTTGACTGAAGACTGAAGCATGAATCAATAAAAGAATTTAGAAACCACGGTATAAGAGAACTAGCAGTTCTTCCCCTCACCAGTATACTCAGTTCTCACAGGATCAGGTGCAGTTACACGGATACTACAGCTTGGTCTTAAAGTGTGGTCCTGCCTGGCTTCACCTCACAGTTTCTATTCTGCATATTCTACTTTCTTAGGAACCAAACCATTTTTTTCCCCCTAGGGTATAAACTTGAACTTACTCACAGTTCAAATGAAATGAGCTTTCAAACTGATTTCTGTTCTATGATTATCCAAAGAAACAATAACCAGTTTGTTCTGTTAGGCACTTGCAAAGACTAAACATTTTATTTGGTTTGGAACATGTACCCAGAGACCCAATATAATGGCGATTTTTATTTTCTTGTAACTTAAATATGAGTTTTCTCTGTTTTAGCAACTCAAACTGAATCACCTGAATCATGACCGTGCCCTTCACAAAGCTCTTCCTTATATCATAGGAGCAGCCTCTGGGTGTTCCTATAAAGCTGGGTGGCTTAACTAAGAGGAAAAAAACTCACAAGCAATTGTCTTTGGGCAGCAGAATACTAGGTGGCTGTCATGATAATGTTCTGTATTTTCCAAATGTTTTGCAATTAATCATAACTAATGGCAATTTTAGAGAAAACACATTAAAAATAAGTCTATATAATTTTAGGTAAATATGGGCAAAAATTATGTTAAAATTATGAGCAAAGCAAGGTGTGGAGAAAGCAAAATGAAGTTTAGAAATGTTTGTCTCTAATGAAGCATTAGATTGAGACTAAATTTCATTCATCTTTTTCTAAAGAGAACATTTTGTATTTGTAAAGGAGAAAATACAATTTGTTTAAACTTCCTTTAATAAAGATACATAATAAAATGAATGTTTCCTTTAAATATACCCTCAATGGCACCTTTGTGGGAGTGGGTGTAGGGTTGGGGGGGTGGGCAGCGTGTGAACCACAGTATCATTAGGTAAAAGTAAGAACGCACATTACCTTCCCAGGAAGGGAGACAGACAACCTGCTGTGTCATAATAGCTTTAGAAAACTTTGGTCTCAGGCTTACAAAGTGAAGACTCTTAATTAAGAAAATCGGAGGTCCTGATGACAAGTCTATCAAAGATTGACTTCTGCAATATGGGGGCTACTATCTGGCTTTGTAATTTGAAAAAGCCTCTTGGATGGCAGCATACTTGTCATCTTTGTCAGGAAGCACCCTGCCAAACGCAGCTCTTGCGGGCAATGGGCTGCAAACTCCAGCAGGATTGGGACTGCGTCCCGAGCAGTTTTGCCGCCTGCATAACCACAGTTACTGGAACAGGATATGCACTAATTGTGTAGTACAAATGATTGTTCTGGTGAACTAGATGATACATGTTTTACAGATAACAGTGAAGTATAGGTTTCTAAGCAAGAAAGACAGAGGTCCTGGGGAAAAATGGACACTGAGTGATAATTTAAAGGGCATATTCCTAGTGGTCTACCTGAAAAGAAGCAACAATTAACTAGTCTTTTGTTTATCTCACATAATTTGATTTTTTTAAAAAAAATACTTATTCCAAGTTTATCATATATTAATGAATCATATGTACCTTACCGATTTTAGCCAAGACTTTGATGCCTGAACTCATACATCTCTGATGAAAATGAAAATTTGAAAAGACTTTTAGGAAAGTAATTGTCAGTAATAAAAGTCTTTTAAATGTTCGGTTTTTTTTGTAATATCAATTTCTAAGAGCCTTTCCTAAGAAAATTATCTGAAATGTGAGTAAAGGTTAACAAAATTGTTTATTATAGCATTATTTATAATAATTATACAGAAAACACTTAATATAGCAAGCTTGAGACTGCTACTCTTAGCAACATCTGCTTGTAAAGTTGACCTTCAGTTGATATCTTAGAACTCAGCAGGTAAACAATTCCTGATATAAAACTTTCCCTAAATGATAAGAGTGTCTCACTATACCCAGACCAATTGTGCAAGCAATATGGTTTTTGTTGAATACCTGCTTTCCTTCCAGAAATCCGGAATGTTGGTACATGCTAGGCAGAGTATGCCTACGTGACTAGGCTCCAATAAAAATCATGGGTACTAAGTTTTAAACAAGCATCCCAGGTATATAACACTTCACACATGTTGTCATGACTTGTTGCTGGAGGAATTCAGCACATCCTTTCTGACTCCACTGGGAGAGAACTATTGGACTCTTGCTCCTGGTTTCCTGTGGATTTCATTCCCTGTACCTCTTCCCTTTGCTGATTTTGCTTTGTAATCTTTCACTGTAATAAATCTTAGCCATGACTACAACCATATGCTAAGTACTGTGAGATCCTCTAATGAATCACCAAACTTGGGGTGGTCTTTGGGACTCCAACATAAAAATAAAATTGGAAAAAATATAAATGTAAATATAATATAAATGTCCAGAAATGGGAGACTGGGTAAATTTTACTATATCATGCATTGACTTATTCCTCAACAACAAAAGTTATGGTCATGAAATATTTTACATTATAACTGCATTGTAAGAAAAAAGTCTCATATACCTTGCGCTTTTAATTGTGGACCAAAAAAAGTCCATAAACAAAAAGACTTGACGAAATTGTGCCAAAATGATAAAAGTAGTAGCTTTTGGTTTGATCGATTTTTTTTTCTGTATTCTATTCTCTTATTTCTGAATGGGCTGATTGTGGAGCTCATGAAACCTTAAACATCTGACTCACATACAGCCACCTCTTAAGGAATGTTATTCTAATTGTTTTTTCTCCATATCAATTGCCATTGTACCTAAACCATGGTTTCACTGTGAAACCAGACTTGCCACTGAGCTTTGGAGTACAAGATTAGGAAGCAGTCTGTGAGTCTGAAGCAAACGCACATGAGTTGGACATGAGTGATTAAGCACATTGGACATATTTGGCTCAAACTCTGCCCAGTTTGGTTTCTACACCACATAGAAATAATCTGATAAAATCAAATCTTAGATGTTAACAGTTTAAAACCTAGGTGAATGAACAGAAGCAGGCCATGTTAGCTGAGAGATGAACCAACCTCACCAGTTCTCTCTGAAGCTGGTTGATAATCCCAGCATTGGGAAATCTAGAACCAAGAATGACAGGGGTCAAGGGATGACTTTCCATGATATCTTCACATATAAGCTCCATCACTAAAGGAAATTTCTGCAAGTTTTATAAAGAAACAGACCTGAACATTTGGCTTTCCAGAATTTCTACAATGAAGAGGTATTTGATTGGTAATGTGAAAGAAGGATTAAGCTTTAGAAAACAAAAACTACCTACAAAATGTATGGTCATAAATCTTTGGTATTTTATTTATTCACAGGTTATGCATGAGCTAGAATAATGGTGCAAATTCTGAGCAAATTCAATGAGCTAGCCTTTTTAGGAAACAAAAATAAGAAACTAATCTCCTAAAAAAGAGTATTAATTTTGTTATTTTCATCAGTTTTTGATGACTGGTTTGTCAGAAGATTGAAGGTCACTAATGTAACATTATCTTTACTGAAAGCTCATTAACGTAATACATTCAAAAGAGGAAAAAAAGATCCTGGTGACAAAAACAAAGGGATAACTACAGAACAAAATTTTAGCCCTGCCTATATATATTCATTCCAAATGTTTTACTTTAGAAACTAGCTTGTCACCTTACAAGGTATGAACTGTATATGACTGGTGGGAACTTCACTAAGTTGTAGGCATAGTAATGTGGAAAATTAAATTAAAAATCTGTGTCAGTACTGAGAGGCTCATGAAGTCCAAGTGATAAAGCTAAAGTAAAAGATAAAGATAAAAAGCAAATATCACACATAAATATAAGAAACAAGAATAGTGAAATGAGCTAAGGCAAAGACTTTCTATTATTGTGATCAATATTTACAATTATTAGATGTACAGATTAGCCAATTTCTACCTATCCTTTTCAGTCCTCTCATCAGAAAGAAAGCAAAGTGTAACACAAATCATTATTTCTGCTTGTTATCAATGTAAGTAAAAGACTAAGTCTTAAGAGGATGAAGAAAAATCTGAATATTAATGCTTTGGATGTTATCTATGAAGCTCAGATAGCCACATGGATTCTGCTTCCATTATTACTAATAATTGAAAACTGATGGTACTAATAAAATATTCCAAATATGCTCTGTCTTCTCCCTCCCACACACCAACAGATCAAATTCAACATAATTTGGTTCTTTTGAGAAACATAATAAGCACTACTTTCATAGAAATTTTAAGAATTAAGAACAAAATTAAGTTTATTTTTCAATCTATCTTACTGGTCTTACTAACTACTATGTCCACATATGAACCTTCCCTCCAGTTAAACTACTGTACTACCTTAACCTAAAATAACTTTCAGACATATCTCCACACAGTTGCCTAAGCCATGGTCCTCCAATAACCCATCCTCACTGATCTCTACCTTCCCAAAGTATGGGCAACTTTCAAGGCCAAGCTATACTGTTATTTTTTTTCTTTCCACTCATGATGGTACACTTGAATTCAAAGGAATGTGATGATGTGATAACAAAGATAACCCTGAATCTACTCTAATTATTAAAAGGTTAAACAATTCTCAGCTTTATCTTTTTCTTTTTTTCTTTTTTATTTTTTTTTGAGACAGACTCTGACTGTTGCCTAGACTGGAGTGCAGTGACATGATCTCGGCTCACTGCAACCTCTGCCTCCCAGGTTCAAGCGATTCTCTTGCCTCAGCCTCCTGAGTAGCTGGAATTACAGTATGTACCACCACATCTGGCTAATTTTTGTATTTTTAGTAGAGATGGGGTTTCACCATGTTGGCCAGCTGGTCTCAAACTCCCAAACTCAAGTGATCTGTCCACCTCAGCTTCCCAAAGTGAGCTTTTTCTTTTCAGTATTTAGAAAAATATACCTTGAAATCACTTCACTGATCCTGATATGCTGACATGAATGACCATGGAGAAGGAGAACTACTAATATCCACCACAGGAACAGAAAACACCCCATTGCCTTGTACTGTAGATTACAAAAGGGATTACCTTTTCTTGCATTCTAATTCAGCCACAAGTCTGCAAATTCCTTATAAGACATGGATGACATCTAAAATTAATTTGTATTCCTATATACATATAGCACAGCATTTTGTATGGTCACATTTCAAAACATGAACAAAAAGTCCTTAGTCAACACTTCTTTGCCTTTAAAACTCAGAGGACATTTTCACTTTCATTCTGTACACTTATAACAAAAGCCTTTATCCTTTTAAAAGATGGAAGCAAAAAAAGATGTAACAACTCCATCTGCATTTGAATGAAGCCTCTATCAAATATAATGAAACATGGACATAGAACAATTGCTATATATTAGTTCATATTAATAAGTTGTTAATTTTAGGTGACATATTTTGATTGTGCTTTAAGAAGAGATTCTTCATCTTTTACAATACAAGCTGAAAAATATTTATGAATGGATATCAAAGAATTTGCCTCATCTAATCCAAGCTGAGAAGGGAATTGGATGGGTGTGTGGATAAAATAATACTGGCCATGAATTCATAATTATTGAAGCTGGATGATGAATATTTGTGGATTTATTATCCTAGTTTCTTTACTTTTGTATATTTAGATTTTCCATAATAAAATGGTTTTTTACTTTGTTCCAAAATGCACAAACTTTTCCAATGCCAAGAAAAGTTTGAATTAAACATCTATTCATGAGGAAAAGAGATCAGACTCACAGCAAAACATGAATAATACTACTTTTCCAACAAAGTGTGGCTTTAAAAAAGAAAGAATGGAACTGCATTATTAAGTGCTAGGAGGCACATCTAAGCAATCCCCCAAGCAACTCTCCAGATCCTCACAGGATGACTGTTGAAAATACTGTAAACTCCCACATCAGAACTATTCTGTTAGAGCAAAGCATCAGAAATGTGTTTACTTGCTTATTAGCTATCTTCTCAACTAGAATGTAAGTGCCACTAGGTCAACGTCTTTACTTTGTACTCCAGTATCTCTCCAGCAACAAGCAGTGCATCTAGCCCAGATAGCAGGTACTCAATACACATTTGTCAATTATTTCTATGTATAAAATATGCCCTCTCCTGCCTACTGCAAAGTTGTCATAAAGTATTATGAATGTTAAGCTATTAGAATACAAACTCATTTCAAAGTTTCCAATTTTATGTTCCTTTCTGAAAATAGCTTATCATTAACTTATCTATTTTGCATATTAAAAATTTACAAATAAAACCTGCATGCCTCTTCTCATGTTAGCCTTATGTCCACTGAGAGGTAGATAAAAACAAGAATT